TAATTTATAATTTTTTAATGGACTATTTATGGGTGCCTTGGAAGGAAGACGTGGAGAAGTGTGGCTGCTGGAAGAGGTTCTCCAGCAGGAACCCACGCCCCCCGAGGACGCTGCCGTTTTGCTGGTTTTCAAAACGGGGACTGTTTTTTTTTAAGGAAATCTATTTTTGTACCTACTATTTATTGGGGATCACACTGGGGGGAGTTGCATGTATAGATAAGTTATAAATTATACTTTATATGCTATTTATAATGGAAAATAAATTAAAATAGAATAATGCTTTTGTTTTCACTGAGTTTTGTTATAACATCATCACTCCAGCCAAGAGAACTGCTTGTGGGGACGGAGGAGGAAAGCAATGTGGATTGGGAGCATGGGAAAACCAGCAAAAGCCTTGTTTGCTTCTGAACAGAGGCTGATCAAAGTCCTGGGGCCACGGGAGCTGCGTGGAGCTGGGAAGGGCACAGCTTAAGGTGATGATTGCAGCTCGCTCAGAAGAGCTGCATCCTCGGGCCAGTCTATCCAGGAGCCTTGAGAAGCTCCCTGAGAGATGGAGCCTCCAAACCCAAGGTCTGAATGGGAGCAGGTGAGGGGAGCACCAAGGTCCTTGTGAGGACCCTATCAGCCAGGCCTATCCCGGTCCCGCATTTATGGCTAAGATGTAGTGGTGAGATCTTGAGTCTCTGCAAGAACTGTGTATGAAACACAGTCTTACTTTGGTAGGGATTTTTTTTAAGTGATGTTTATTTCATGCATATGCGTAGCTTGGCTCCTGCTGGGTGAGTGCAGAAAAGTTTCCTGAATCACAGAAAACGCACGGGAGTCTGTGGCACTCTCCACTCCTCATGGGATTTGTCTCCGAGAGCATCAGGAATAAATGGGCTCCCACCTTTCCTGGGCGGCCTTAGACCATGCGGTATGTGCACGTGAGCTGCTGCTGTTATGGGAACGTGCTGATTGAGCAGTTTCCTCTTGCTCCTCTTCCGTATGCATGAGGAATAAATCAATCCCAGGCAGTAAGAAACTAGC